ATCACTCACACACACTTAACATATATATATATATATATATATATATATATAATCCTATTACTTCTTCATTATTGTATTGGCAAATATCACGTCGCCACCATTTATTACTCAAAATACTCAAAACTACTTTGACCTCTTATTCAAGCTTATGTTTTGGTCTTTGTAATATGGTTACTGGTTTTCTAATATTATTGTCAATATATCATTTCATCCTAATCTCTAATTCAAAGCAGTAATTTTTTACTCTCAATTTGTTTCTTACACTTTATTTTTCCTGTTTATTTTACCACCTCACTTACTTTTATATTCTTGTTGCTAATTTTAATTTTCTCTCTTATTTTACTAATTTCACTATTCTTTCTATTAAGAGAAAAATTACCTTGTATAGCAACACATGAGAGTAACATGTAAAAGGGAAAATTTTTCTCGAAAAGTATTAAACCATCTACTTCCGAATAACAAGTAAAAATTTTAGTTATCCATAAAACTATTAAAATCTCCAATTATTACCAATTACACCAGTGCGATAAACAGCAGCTGCATTATAACCACCACAAAACAAGCTATCATCATTACAGTGATACTGTTTGCATGAAATATCCGGAAGTGAAGCAATATTTGTCAAAGCGTCACCACAGAAACACTCGTCACGATATTCAATAGCTAAACAACAAGACAATCACAAAAATTTACTACTTTAACGAATAAATACTAATCCATTCAGGTAAAGTATATAAATAGATGAATTCAAAGAAATATGTTGATGAATGATATCAACTGGAAAGTTACGGTTGCTTGAATAAAAATACACCAAACGCCAACCTGCAAAACTGTAACCTGCTCGAAGGCATGTATTTATACAGTACGATGGTGAATTATTCTTAAACGTGTAATAATGCCCATTAAGAAGACGAGAATTTCGTGAATCTTTGTAACAACCCATATAATAACTATATAACTTAGTATCTGAAAACAATCTATTTGTATGCTATAACTTTAAAAATAGCACTCTAAATTCATTGTAATTTCCTTATTTTAAAAAATCTGATCAAATAATATTTAGCACTCTAAATTCATTGTAATTTTCAATTTTTCTAGTGCTAATTAAACAAAGATGTATTTTCGATAATTTAAAAAATGTGACTAATAGTCTAACTGCTTGTCAATAAAATTTCACATATCCTGTTTTTCCGAATAATATTGTATACTTCTCACGAACAAGTTTCCTTAAGCTTGAGATATTCAGAAATAAACACTTAGAAGTAAATATTTGGGATTTGTGTAACTTTCGGAACTCTAAATTGTAAATCATATAAATTATAATCTGACCGTATTTCGGGCACGTATTGGGAAGTGAATCAGGTATCAGCTGATTAATATTACAAACGATATCACGAGCTTTTACGCGACATTCCGCCGTCTTCATTCTGGACAAAGCACTTACTGTCAATGATCCAGAGAGAAATT